TTCGCGCCGCTCCTCCGCTCGGCCCACAGCGCAGCCTGGAGGCTTGGAGTCGCTGCGCCTCTGCTCATTTTCTTTGTAAGAGCCAGGTTTGGGCCATGCTGCCCAAGCTGCTCCCCAACTCGGATCCTAAACAGGTGCCGTCATGTAGGGCTTGCAGCCTCAGCTTTGAGTCTCTAGCCTCCCACTTGTAACACAGGGTGTCATGCCTAGGGAAGCAGAGATGACCACTAACGGGCCTGAAGGGTGGGAACTGAGTCAGACTCCAGGCCACTGTCGCTAGCCTGTGAGCATTCCTGACTGAGCACCCCCAGCCATCCGGTTCCCCTCACTCAGGCCTGGGGCAGCCCCACCCTCTGTGACCCTTGCCTCCTCTGAACTTTCTCTGGGCATCAAAAGGGCATAGCTGGGTAGAAGCCATGCCACTAGAGGTGGCATGGGGAGGTGCTGGCCTAGCCCAGAGAGAGAGGCCCTGAGCGAGGTGGGAGGAGTCAGATTTGGAACATGGAGTTAGCCAGGATGGCTTCTCCAACTTCGGCCCTACATGCACAGAAGGGTCAGAAACCCACTTACTCCATTCCCGCTCCACGCAGAGCTGTTGGAGAACTGCCTGGCCAAGGACCTCAACATTTATTAGATTCATTCTCTTCCCCATCCATTCCCCACCAGCCCCACCCCCTCCTGGGCCCCCAGGGCTAGGCCAGCTCCAGCTGGCAGCTTTTGAGCGGACTCAGGGTGCGGTTTGTGGTGCGGGTGAAGGTGTCCACTGCGGGCACGAACTTCTCCGCAGGCACGGTGAGCTTGCGGCGGCTGTCCATGCACTTGGTGTCCAGCAGCATGGAGTTGGTCTTGCAGGCGATGTCCGCCTGCAGCCGGGCCAGGTGCTTGTAGAGGGCATCCAGGGCATCCCTGGGGGGAGGCGTGAGCTACCCACTGGCCCCACATGAGGCTGAGGCACGGCCCTGAAGCCCAGGGGAGCCAGTGGATGCAGAGGCCCTGGGGGCGGTGTGCCCGGCCCCACCCACGCCCTGCACGTACTGCGCCTGTGCCAGCTTCTGCCTCAGGGCAGCGATGGTGGCCTCCAGCTGGTGGAGCTCATCGGTGAGGCCGTACTGCGCCTGGAGGCCGAGGGCAGGTTGGGAGAGGCAGGTCGGCCACATTGCCCTGGAGCCTCCCCGGCTTCAGGGCCCTGAGCCAGGGGCAC